TAAATGGCTGCACACAAAAAGTGCCAGAAGTCTCCTAGATATTCTGGGGTATCTATTTATTCAAAACAGTTAGTTTGTCTTTGTGTACTGTGACTGCTATTACATCTACAGGCCCAGAATATTAAAATGTGTTTGTTTTTTATGTAATTAAAGTGTTTATTGATTTTTAAACAAGTGAATAATTTGATTGCAATGTGCATGAACTGCAAAGCAAAAACGCAAAGATCCAAAAAATAGTCACCTAAAAATAACATAAAGGGCTGATGTGCAGAAAAGGAAAGTCGCAAAAGAGAAACTGGAAAAAAGGACCTTTTAAGTGTTACATTATTTATTTTTACTTAAAAGTTGTTGTTTTTTTATTTCTTTAAATTCTTTATTTTTTCGTGCATAGATGATACATATAACAGTTAGGCTAGCAATGCCACAACAGCTGTTGCCAGAGTTTTGGGAGACAAAGAATTACATTTGCATGGCCTGAATAACTGTGCACATTTTTGTAATAAAGAAAGATAAACAGTAGTGATGTCCCGAACGGTTCGCCGAACAGTCCGCGAATGATTCGCCACGAACGGTTCACCGCGGACTCATCATTGAGTAAACTTTGACCCTGTACCTCACAGTCAGCAGACACATTCCAGCCAATCAGCAGCAGACCCTCCCTCCCAGACCCTCCCACCTCTTGGACAGCTCACTAAGAATGCAGCTTCACAATGAATGTAAAATGGATGCTGTTCAGGAGGTGGGAGGGTCTGGGAGGGAGGGCCTGCTGCTGATTGGCTGGAATGTGTCTGCTGACTGTGAGGTACAGGGTCAAAGTTTACTCAATGATGGGTCCGTGGCGAACCGTTCATGGCGAACCGTTCGCGAACCGTTCGGGACATCACTAATAAACAGCAGTATATTGAGAGTCAGTGTGCAAGCTAGCGCGGTTGTGAGGCTTATCAACTGACTGTGCTATTGAAAGTTTAACTAACGCTTCCAAATTTTATCAGTGGGTGTAGCTGGAAGAGGTATAATGCTATGTGATAAAACTGCATATGGTACATGGGATGCAAGAACCACTGAGTGGATGTGGTGAATCAATATAGGTATTGATGTGTTGCTACAGCAGGAGCTGTGAGGGTAGATCCTAGAGTGTAGCTAGTTATGCTGAGCTATAGTTTTTGTCTAGGTACAGGCCTATATGGACATAGCTGGTTGCTGGTCGAATGGTATGCAAAACATTGGGGAAAGCAAACCAAATAAAAACATAAATCAGGCAGTTCCAAGAAATAGGCATGGCTGGGGGAAGGCTCATGTGGTGTCATAGGCTCCTTCAGCCGATGCCCCTGAGTGGGGGGTCAGCGACCCAGTGCTGCATGAGTCCAGGTGTGTGACTGTGGCGTCACGCCAGATCTGTGCTCTACTCCAGCCCCTGGTTTCTGCGGGGGTATGTGCTGCCATTCTGTAGGTTTCAGTTTTATTGAGGGTTGAGTCCTTTGTTCTTCTGGGATGGGCGCTGATGTGGATTGCCCTGTGCTGTGTCGGCTGCCCGCTCTTGTGTGAGTGCGTTGCTGTGTTAGGTCTCTTTAAGGCCCCCAGACCGAGAGCGCGGTTTTGTGCATTTCAGCGTCTGTTGCCTTTGTGCAGACGGGGAGCCCGGGGACTCTGCATGGGGCGCTTGTGTGTGTGTAGCTCTTCCGTGAGGCTAGGTGTTGCTTGAGCTGCATGGTGTTGGGTGGCACGTGCTGTGTCTCACTTACATGCTGCCTTTTCGCCCCCATGTGCTTCAAGGGTGCCTCTCTCTTCTCCCTGCGCTCATGGTTCCGCTCGTCCTTGTATGGTAGGGTTTGCAGTTTTGCCTGAGGTGCTTGAAGCAACTCACAGAGCTTGATCCAGAATCAGGAAAAAGTTGCATCTAGATGCTGTTGGACATCACTGTAGTCCTCCATCTCAGGTATGTAACTTTGCTTGCATGGTAGGCTTGCCGCTGCCATTTTAGTCGCGCCATGTGCTTGGCTGCCCCGTTGCTGCGGTTCATCGGGCTGCAGGTTCAGTCTGTGTCTGCCTCTCCAGTCGTCCAATGTGGACCGAAGTGACCCCCATCAGTCCGGAGTGGGTGGGGGGTAGGAGATGACAGCCCCAAGGGATCCATACTCAGGTCAGTCAGAATCTCCACAGCACGATCTCCGGTATGCCTCAGGTTTGTAATGCAGAGTCCTGGTGGGTTATATGCTTGGTTTCGGTATCTCAGGGTTCACCCGGTTGTCCCTGTCTTAATAGCTCCACTCCAGTGTGCGTTTGTGCCTTTTTTTGTGGTTTTACCCCCAATATGTGCCGATTTGAGCAGCAGCTGAAGTTCGGCACAACCGCTCAGCCTGGATGCTAGACTCCACCCCCTAAATTTTACATTTTTACACAGCACTTGAATTATATTCCCTAGGTAAATGTGATATTCTCAAACCAGGACAAATAAATTTATTTATTTTGCAATATTTTTTTTTTAGCTGCTTTACTCATGAAGAAGTTATTAAATTTCTATTTTTGGCTATGGAATTTATTGCGCGCACATGATAGTTAGCAACATGTTAATGGTTTTCCAATGTGATCACAATTCCACTGTTCAAACATTTTACAGTAATGCTGAAACCATAATTGGATCAAAAATACACCTACTTTTTAGCAATCACGATTCTTCCAAAGAAGTATAAATGCCCAAGTAGAAAGAACATCTCTGACCCCTCCCCTGACTGATGATGTGTAGCAAGAACTTTAACTAAAGATTCCTTGCTAATCAATTATTTGCTTATAAATGCTTGACTTTCATACTTAGTTCTAGAAGATGTTGTTAACTAACCATGATTACTCAAAACACTGTAAAGTTTTATCACTCTAGATAAATGAATAGTACGTAATATTAACAACATACAAATATTTGGATGACTAGATATTTTATCAAAATACCTTGATTTAAAGCGGCACTGTCATGCCGAACTTACCTTTCCTCAATCTCTTCCTCTTCTCCCCCTCTCTCATGATCTGTTATTCTTTTCTTCCTGTCTTCTTTAGTTTTCTTTAAAATCATAAGACAAAGTAGGGACTCTTTGCCTTATGGAGGATTCCTCCGCTTGACCAGCTCTGACCAGCGGAGGAGCAAAGTGTGCTTCATTTCCGATGGTCAGAGCAATTTTCCCATGATCCTTACCTTCCCTCTGTGATCTCGCGATGCTTCCTGTCACTTTACACTAAACTGCCGAATTGCATTCTAACTGAATGAGAACAGTATGTTCGTTTGTTTTAGAATGCAATTCGGCTCTTTATTCGGATTGCAATTTCATTCTAATGAATGAAACTCCGATCCTATTCATTGCCGCGGCTGCATCTTGCAGCCGCTTAGTAGATAACTCCCTAATTCCCACGGTATCAGGGAGTTATCTACTAAAAGGCTGAAAGACCTAAATTGGTCTTTCAGCCACATTTACTAATACTAAGTAAAGATTACTTAGTATTAGTTAATTAAATGCCCCTACTCGCTATATCGCGAGTAGGGGCATGTGTAGTAAGCAGTGAGCAGCTTATACCAAAAAAACCAAAACCAAAACCCCCCAAAAAACTAATAACCCCCCCCCATGCCTGTGGGGGCCCTAAATAAAGATGGGGGGGGACCTACTGTCCCCCCTGGCCCCCACCCCTGAGCGGTGGGTGGGGCCCTAATAAAACAATAAGGGGGGGGACCTACTGTCCTCCCCCCGGCCCCCACCCCTGCGCGGTGGGTGGGGGCCCTAATAAAACAATAAGGGGGGGGACCTACTGTCCTCCCCCCCTGGCCCTCACCCCTGAACGGTGGGTGGGGGCCCCAGTAAAAAAATAAGGGGGGAGGACCTACTGTCCTCCCCCCCTGGCCCCCACCCCTGAGCGGTGGGTGGGGCCCTAATAAAACAAAAGGGGGGGGACCTACTGTCCTCCCCCCCTGCCCCCAACCCTGCGCGGTGGGTGGGGGCCCTAATAAAACAATAAGGGGGGGACCTACTGTCCTCCCCCCCTGGCTCCCACCCCTGAGCGGTGAGTGGGGGCCCCAGTAAAACAATAAGGGGGGGACCTACTGTCCTCCACCCCTGGCCCCCACCCCTGAGCGGTGGGTGGGGGCCCTAATAAAACAATAAGGGGGGGGACCTACTGTCCTCCCCCCGGCCCCCACCCCTGCGCGGTGGGTGGGGGCCCTAATAAAACAAGGGGGGGACCTACTGTCCTCCCCCCTGTCCCCACCCCTGAGCGGTGGGTGGGGGCCCTAAATAAAAAAGGGGGGGGGACCTACTGTCCTCCCCCCCGGCCCCCACCCCTGAGCGGTGGGTGGGGGCCCTAAAACAATAAGGGGGGGACCTAAGGTCCTCCCCCCTGGCCCCCACCCCTGAGCGGTGGGTGGGGGCCCTAAAAAACAATAAGGGGGGACCTACACCCCCCACCCCTGCGTGGTGGTGGGGCCCTAATAAAACACAAGGAGGGGGACCTACTGTCCTCCACCCCGGCCCCCACCCCTGAGCGGTGGGTGGGGGCCCCAGTAAAACAATAAGGGGGGGACCTACTGTCCTCCCCCCCGGCCCCCACCCCTGAGCAGTGGGTGGGGGCCCTAAATGAAACACCCCCCCCCAATCAAGGTGACTAGGGGTCCCAAGCCCCTATCACCCCCCCAACCAAAAAACCCCTATCCCCTACCTACCCCCCTCACCCTAAAAATAGTGAGGGGGGAATAAAATAACTAACCTGTAAAAAAAAATAAATATACCATTTGACGTCTTCTTTTTTCTAAAATCTTCTTTCTTCAGCCCCAAAAAGGCCAAATAAAAAATCCATTATACCCGTCACACTTAAAAAAAAAAAAACGAGCGCAAAAAAAAATTAATCCATGTTCGCCCTTCCAGGGCACGCGACGGACTGAGCTCCGCAGGGTGGGTCAAGGCTTGAAAGCCACCCAATCAGAGTGCTCTGTGTCATTTTACACAGCATGGGACAGTTCTTTTGAATTTTCCCACGCTGTGTAAAATGACTCATAACACTCTGATTGGTGGATAACCAATCAGAGTGTTATGAGTCATTTCCCACAGCATGGGAAAGTTCTTTTGAATTTTCCCACGCTGTGTATAATGACTCAGAGCACTCTGATTGGTGGATAACCAATCAGAGTGTTATGAGTCATTTCCCACAGCATGGATTAGTTCTTTTGAATTTTCCCACGCTGTGTAAAATGACTCGTCTGTCTGATGAATGAATGAATAGATGAAATTCCCGTTTGCATGTCCAGGTGTTTCACGGGGCATGTGTGGGAATCTCACAGTCTGTCTAGTGTGGGCTGATGACGTGTCAAGCCACCCAATCAGAGTGCTCTGTGTCATTTTACACAGCATGGGAAAGTTCTTTTGAATTTTCCCACACTGTGTAAAATGACTCAGAGCACTCTGATTGGCTTAACCCCTTAAGGACCAAACTTCTGGAATAAAAGGGAATCATGACATGTCACACATGTCATGTGTCCTTAAGGGGTTAAACCCACCAATCAGAGTGTTCTAAGCCTAATTGCAGGGCGGAGCAAGGCTTTATAAGCCTTGACCCGCCCTGCGGAGCTCAGTACGCGGCGTGCCCTCGAAGGGCGAACATGGATTAATTTTTTTTTGCGCTTGTATTTTTTTTTTTTTTTTTTAAAGTGCGACGGGTATAATGGATTTTTATTTGGCCTTTTTGGGGGCTGAAGAAAGAAGATTTTAGAAAAAAGAAGACGTCAAATGGTAAGTTTAATTTTTTTTTACAGGTTAGGTATTTTATTCCCCCCTCACTATTTTTAGGGTGAGGGGGGTAGGTAGGGGATAGGTTTTTTTTGGGTGGAGGGGTGACTAGGGGCTTGGGACCCCTAGTCACCTTGATTGGGGGGGGTGTTTCATTTAGGGCCACCGCTGAGGGGTGGGGGCCAGGGTGGGGGCCAGGGTGGGGGAGGACAGTAGGTCCCCCCTTATTGTTTTATTAGGGCCCCACCCACCGCGCAGGGGTGGGGGCCGGGGGGGAGGACAGTAGGTTCCCCCCCTTATTGTTTTATTAGGGCCCCCACCCACCGTTCAGGGGTGGGGGCCAGGGAGGGAGGACAGTAGGTCCCCCCCCTTATGGTTTTATTAGGGCCCCCACCCACCGCGCAGGGGTGGGGGCCAGGGGAGGGCATAAGTTCCCCCCCATATCTTTATTTAGGGCCCCCACCCACCGCTCAGGGGTGGGGCACAGGGGGGAGGACAGTGGGCCCCCCCCTTTTTGTTTTATAAGGGCCCCCACCCACCGCTCAGGGGTGGGGGCCGGGGGGAGGACAGTAGGTCCCCCCCCTCATTATCTTCATGGCCCCCACCCGCCACTCAGGGTGGGGGAGGGGGGGAGGACAATAGGTCCGCCCCCCCTTATTGTAATTTATGTCATTTTTTTCAACATGCCTCTACTCGCGGTATAGTGAGTAGGGGCATTTGGGAGATTTTAATCTCCCTTGTGCTATTATGGGGGTCATATTGACCCCCATAGAGTAAGGGGGGACCTGGGTGTGGGGCTTATGAAGTGGCGGGGAGCACTGCTCCCTGCCACTTCTATAGTTACATATTACAAGGAGGGAGCTGCACGCCGGTAGCTCCCTCCTTGTAATAAACTGAACGAACAAACTAACACTGATACACTGATACATTGTGTTAGTTTGTTGGGCTGATTTTTCTATTCACTCATTCGTCTGTCTGATGAATGAATGAATAGATGAAATTCCCGTTTGCATGTCCAGGTGTTTCACGGGGCATGTGTGGGAATCTCACAGTCTGTCTAGTGTGGGCTGATGACGTGTCCCACAGGGACTTCACCTACCCACACAAAGATGGCTGCGCCCTGAATATAGATCGGGGCAGAAAATAAGGATTAAAAAATAGGTAATGTGGGGGGCTTAGGGGCATTTGGGGGTGACTAGTGGGTCAATTGGATGCAGTGGAGGCGGGAAGGGGGGTTAAAAAAAAAAACGAGATTCGGCATGACAGTGCCGCTTTAAAGGGATACTATTATCTTAATGAAGCCTTTTTAGTGTATAGATCATGCTCCTGCAGTCTCACTGCTTCAATTCTCTTCAGAGGCATGATCTATACATAAACACTTCTTAATTAAGCAAACATTGTTTTTTGGTGACTTAAGGAACATGTCTCATGTGTTATAGGCAACTGAAGGGTTCTGCCATTATCTCCTCAATAGCCAAAGGTATAGAGCTCTCCTTAAAGGGTATGTGGAGAATAGTAATACATTCACGATCTATAAAACTCTCAACAACTCTTGAAACAAAGATAGCTTTATTACTTTATTACTATAGCAGAGGACATTTGCATAACACATAAGGCTAGTCCTGTAATTGAACTTAGATGTGCGAGTTTTCTGGATCCATCGGACATGATCTATGTAGATTTGTTAACTTCATAGCCTCTAAATGGATAGGTTCTGGTTCTGGTACACATGCAGGAGTAAGAGAAGTTAAGCAAGATTGCTGGGGAACATATGAATGTTTAGGTCTGTTATCTATGTGTATCATGTATGATCTATAATATTCTAGACATTCAGGTAATTCTCTAACTGCAGTCTATACTAGTAGCATATCAGAAAAAGCTTCAGAAAAAGCATATACCAAGAAACTTTTTGCCCAATCTACCTCTGCTGGAACTAAATAGTGTAATCGGCTACAGAATAAGTAACTTGTTTGATTTGCATTAATAATTTAACACCATTCTTTACTCAACCCAAAGATTTAAAAGATCTCCTGAATTCAGCTAACAATTCAAACACAGATTCCTGATATCCTGATCTATAATAGCCGAGAGGAAGAAACAGAGACATATATACCAGCCCAGTGCGAGACGAAGGAACACAGACATACATACCAGCCCAGAGCTAGAGGCAGGAACACACACAGAAAGACACACAAAGTGATGATAGCATGTAAAATCACAAAAAGCAAACCAAAATGTACAAAGTAGGAGTTTGAGCTTATAGTGAGATGTTGTACCTTAAGAAATACCATATCCTACAAAGGCTTCAGCTAATATGCCATGCTTGAATGACACCCAAGAATAGCATTTTGTGGGTTGTACTAAATTAGTTACTTTGTGTTTGAAACTTATAAGTAGCAGTTTTAAGAGCATAAAAGTGGTAACGTTAACAGATATGATAGAATGAAAAGCAAATATAGTGTCATTAACATATAGCAAAATAAGTTACATTAAAATGTAGTTTTATGTCATTAGTTTTTTTGTTATGATTGATTGACCAATTTTAAAGTACCCCTTGCTTTGTATATGAAAAAAACAAAACAAATGTTTGCTCTTCCATGTATGCAAATTGTATTATTTTTAGGCACAGACATGTCAGGTATCATGTGTGTATATATAAATGCCATAAAATCCTTACACACATGTTTGTGCATTGAAGAAAGTTTTGTCCATCCCTAACTAAAACCATTCAATTACGCATATATATTATTTTATTATTATTATTATTGTTCTTTATAAATTGCCAACAAATTCTGCAGCACTAACAATAGGTGGACAAACAGACAAGCATTTGCCAACTTGTTCATGAGTTATTGAGAGGAAGGATACATCTGGCAAAATAACCCATGGGGGAACAGACTTACGTTTTACCATTGACGACATCATTATAATATGGGATGGAGAGCAAGCAGATATGGAGCTATTTCCAACATACATTAATGATAATGACCTAGGAATCTCAATTACATCCAATACTGGAAGAACACAGATAGATTTCTTTGACTTAATCGTAAAATGGATAACTAAAAAAGTTATCGCTAAACCCTTTAAAACTGTGGATGTTAATTGGCATCTATCAGCCACCAGTGCGGATCACCCCTAATGGATTCAAAACACCCCTCTTAGACATTTTATAAGAATTAGGAGAAACTGCACATCTCTACTAAACTTTCATAATGAGGCCATTACCCTGATTGATTACCCTGACTGGCCAACTTAAGCTTTAAACTAAGGTGAGAAGGATGGATAGAAGGCAACTTATATACTGAGACAGAGATCTAGTAGCAACACAGGGACATTCATCAAATGCCTGATAACAGTGAGAATGCTATCCATAGAGTTCGTTAGTGTCTCCAACACTACCGCTCAACACTATTTGTTGGGAGCCACTTACTGACTCTATAAAATGTGAGTGGATTTCTATATATAATATTAACCACATCTGTTTTTACCTACATACTACACTATATTGGCATCTGTTTTATTTACATATTATAAACACCAGATCATCCCCTATCAGACCAAGACACTCACACCATATCCCCATATCCTGAAGAGGTGTTATGAGTTGCGGGAATCACTGGTTGTGCCCGTCTTTCCTTCTTAAGCTAAGCCTTACCTTTTGAAAGGTTTTGGCTTGGACCCTTTGCCCTTCCAATGGCATTTTGCCGAATGTCCATGGTCCTCTGACGAGGACCCTGAGTCATCTGACACTTCTCCCTTTAGTAGTGTCCTGAGTAGCAGATAACACCTTAGCTAAAGCCTTCTCCGCTGATGCATCAATTGCCACATTTATCAGTGCTTGAAGATCAGAGGGCATCTGAGAATCTTCGATATTGGAATACACAAGTAGTATTTCTGGCTCACCCAAATTAGAATCCGTGAGTAAATAATGAGGCAAATTGGTGACAGGGACTGCCTGGGGTACAGTGGTCAAATACGTGATACATGATAATGCAGACTGGCCGTGAAAAAGCATGCAAAATGTATTCATGGGAAATCTGTTGAATGGTTGCTTGAAATAAAGCGAACAGAGACAGAACAGTAATGTAGGAAAAACCGAACAGAAAAAAACTAATGAAAAAATAAAGACAGGAAAACTCGCAAACTAGTAAGTTTGCGAAACAAACAACCCAAGGGGAAACTACAGTACACTAAACGATTGTGCATTTGTGAGTCGAACGGCCTGAAAGGGCTGAACCAAGAAGGAATACAAACCAGGTATTGGTTTGAATACGCATTTGGTAAATTGCGAAAAAAAAGGCGTATGCGAACGCATGAACCTGTGCGAGCCGCAAAT